GGGGGAAACTCTTTGTTTTCCCCTCAAAAAACCGTGGCCCGGCCCCCAGCATGCGACATCACTTCCGGGTGACGCGCGCACACACACCCAGACGCCGGCTGGGAGCCCCCCGCTCTTGGCGAAGGGATTTAAAGAGACCCTACCTCCAAGCCGGCCGGGGATGGGGGAGGGGGCTTTGAGAATGCATTTACAGTTAAAGTTGCTTTCTTTCTCTGCTCCCTCGCAGCCTCAAACCTACCTAGGGAGGGAAACACTGGCTGGGGAAGGGAAGACTGATCAGGGAGGCATGCCTCCCCTTCCCCTCCTCAGCCGCCCTGCTGGGAGCCACATAGTATGTGTGAAACAGCCACATATGGCTCCCAAGCCACAGTTTGGCCACCCCTGCTCCAGAGCAAGGCCCATGGGCCAGATGAGCTGCATCCCCCCCCCCATTGATGTTCTCATCTTGAGAGTTTCACCAGAACTGGGGTACCCAGGACAACCACTCCAGAAGAACTGTCCAGAGGTTTTTCTGATGCATACTTAAACTTGTCAGTAAAGCTCCTTCTACCTGTAGACGCTTCTACATGTTTGAAAAAAGACCCAGCCAGTTTTGTATGCTATTTCTCCTTCCTTTTACTTGCATAAACAAATTTAGTTTTGCTCCATCACAGGTGTGTGAGAGATGAAGCATTTACCAAGGCACACAAACTTGAGCCAGTTTGGTGTAGTGGTTAAGTGCGCGGACTCTAATCTGGGAGAACCGGGTTTGATTCCCCACTCCTCCACTTGCAGCTGCTGGATTACCTTGGGCAAGCCATAGTTCTGTCAGAGCTGTTCTCTCAAGGGCAGTTCTGGAAAGAGATCTCTCAGCCCCACCTACCTCACAGGGTGTCTGTTGTGGGGAGGGGAAGGGAAAGGAGTTTGTAAGCCGCTCTGAGACTCGGAGTGAAGGGCAGGGTATAAATCCAATCTCTTCTTCTCCTCTTCTTCTTGGGCTTAAGCCAGAAGATAGCAGTAAGGTAACCCCCGTGATCTTTGGACACAGACCTTGGTCTAATACAAGGATTACACAGACCACATTGGCCTGGCGTAGGGGTTAGAGTGTCAGAAAAGGATGTGATACAATCAGGATAGAATCCCCACTCTGTCACAGAAGCTCGCCAGGTATGTCACAACCTCTCAGCCTAATCGACCTCACAGCACTGTTGTTGACGCGAGGATAGAGCAGAAGAGGGAAGATTTGTCGCTCAATTTCTAGAGGCTGCAGAAAAGTGCTGAAGGGAGCTGTTTTTAGACATGGGTTTTATTTAAGTTTCCCAGTTTTATTGCTCAAGACCCCGGTCTAAGAAGGGGGGGGGAGAAGAAGAAGGGAGGAGGATTAGATAGTTCCCAAGAGGGAGAAAAGCAGGATATAAATAAAATAAATAAAATTACCGATCTCCTGTGGAGGCTGAGCCTGTTCTCTCCTGAGCTCATACTGGGCTTCATTCCATCCGGCTGCCTCCTGTGAGTGGCATGTAGGGTAGGACTGAGAGCCAGCAATGTCCCACAATGAGGCAGGGGATGTCATCTCCTCATCAGAGGTCACTTCCTCCATCTTCATGGAAACAGTTACCTGAGATTGAACCAAACATATAATGCCCAAGCTGGAATGGGACATCTGGGGTGAGATGGGAGGCTCTTCATTAATGTCCTCTCCCCCACAAAAAAAAAATGCTCTGTACCACAGGATATCTGACAACAAACCACCCCAGATAACTCTATGCCTGACATGGAACCATCAAACCTATCTCTAGGGGTTTCCATTCAAAGGTCCCTAGCCACTGGTGAGAAAACAACTCGAGGGTTCTCCTCTGCCTGAGAATCTTCATTGCCAGCTGTCCTGAAGTGGTTCTAAGTTAAAGATATTGGAAGTAACATTTCAGTGTTTCTCGTTCCAATAACACACACAGTCAGAGTGCTTTGAGTCCATGCAGTGTGGGTGGAGTACGTTACTGGCATGGGAGACGCCATTCATAGAAGTGGCCCTCCAACGTGACCTAGAATAACTGTTTTTGAAAATCCTACCATCAGAGAACCATTTCCACTTTAAGCAGTCTATCAAGCTTCCCCCGAGTGGTTCCCACAGAGCTCCTCTGGGCATAATTTAAAGCTCACATGGAGAGCTGACTAGGCCTACAGGATTTCATGGTTACCCTCGAGTGAAATCAGTGCTTCCCATAATTCACCTTGTATTGCCATGTGACTGCGCATTTCAGGGGAGGTTTACAAGTACTAAGGAAAGCAGTCTTTCAGTGTAGCTTATCTGCCATTGCTGATTTTCCACTCAAGGAGCCCTAGATAATCTGCCAAGGTTCCCTGGAACAGAACCTGAAAGAAGGGCCACATTGTTTTGTGAGGAAAGATACCTGCCTCTTTGCATGGTACATACCTGAGCTCTTCCTGCCTTAGGAAGATACCTGGACCTATTTCCCACAGCCGCTGCTCTGTGCTCGCTCCTGTCTTTGCCCCGATGGTACATGTCAATTTCCCACTTGAAGCCGTGCGGCCGCATTTTGACCCGCGGCTTTGCCCGATTTTGCCCGCAGTTTCGTAATCCTCAAAAATCAGGATCACAAGACCGTGGGGGAAATCGGGTGAAGCCACGGGTCAAAATGTGGCCACGTGGCTTCGAGGGGGAAACTGACACGTACCATCGGGGCAAAGAGAGGAGCGAGCGCAGAGCAGCGGCTGTGGGAAATCGGTCCAGGTGATCCCTCTACACACCTGCATAGATCGCTTGTAGCCTGCATTCTGTGAACATGCTAGTTATGTTTGGAAACACTTGGCCATTTCATTGTGAAGTCATAGCAGATGTCATGTGGGCAGAGGCATCAGTTACAGCAGAAGCTTTGACAGGGCTGTTCCCTTATAATGAAGCTCCACTACTTGCTTCCAGATATAAGCCAATGAGTGAACTAAGGTACAGAAAAAGAGAATATGGATAGAATCCATGTTTCTGTCACACAAGGGAAATTAAACAGCCTCCTACCTCTCTGTTTGTATGGGGGAAAACAAATGAGATACAAAATAAAAAGGGCAGCTCTCATTGACAGAAGTGAATCCGTGGGAGTTGTGTGCCATTTCCAGGAGTAAAGTTTCCTTCCTTTCAA